GAGAGCTAATTACCTAGTTAGCAAAATGACATCTGGTGAATGGCAAGTGCATGGGATTCAATGGGGCTCTGTGAGCCAAGAGTCAGAGAAGACTTTCTGGGTGAGAACTCAGTTAGGCACCAAAGGCTGGGTAACATTTAGTCGAGGATGGCAAGGACAGCATCAGTAGAAGGTAGAGGAAGGACAGGAGTTAAGATGCAGAAACCAGCCAAGTCAGAGGGCAGTGAATTGTTTTTAGGTGCCATTGAGTTGGCACCAACTCATAGCAACCTTACGTACAACAGAACAAAACAGTGAGGGCAGTGAGCAACCTGGTTTAACCAGAGCTGAAGAACCTTCCAGAATTACAGGGATGTTAAATGGAAAATGATCACTGTCTTTAACCTCTTAACGTTCAGGCAAGCTATACTATGTTCCCAATGCTGGATTTGAAAACAATACCTTAAGGTTGGTCCTGGCTACTGAAAGGCATAGAAAGAATATCATATATCAAAGCCTCTAGAGTGCTAATGGGGCAGCAGTGGTTCAGGGATAGAATTCTCGCCAGGAGACTCGAGTTGATTCTGGGCCAATATTCCTTACGGGCAGCCACCACCTGCCTGTCAGCAGAGGCTTACATGTTGCTATGATTCTGAATAGGTCTCAGTGGAGCTTTCAGACTAAAGTGGATTGGAAGAAAAACCTAGTTACCTGCTTCCCCAAATCAGCCATTGAAAACTTTGTGGATCACAATGGTCTGATCTGCAACTGACTGTGGGGATGGCACGGGGCCAGGCAGTGTTTTGTTCCATTGTGCATGGGGTCACCGTGACAGCACCAGCTAACAACAAAAACAAGAATTCTAACAATGCCACATCTGAAAAGCAGTAAGGCTTTCCAATAGTCAATAAAGCAAAACCCAAACCTGCTGCCCTTGAGTTGACTCCCACTTATAGCAATCCTGCAGGACAGGGTGGAACATCTTTGTAGGGTTTCCAAGGCTATAAATCTTTATGGAAGCAGACTGCCTCAGCTTTCTCCCATGGAATGGCTGGTAGGTTCAAACCAATGACCTTTGTGTTAGCAGTTGGGCACTTAACAACTGCACCACCAGAGCCCCTTCCAATATTCAACAGGGGCTCAAGAAATTGCCATTCCTTCCTTACTTAGTTCTGATGCTTTGACTACTTTCTCAAAAACAATACTTCCCAACATCCTCTGCTGTTGATTCATGTACTAGATCTCAAGGAGATCATGTCCTTTTCTTGTCTTCAACCTTTTCTCACTCACAGAAAACCCTTTGTAAGTCTCTCCACTGTGGTTAATCCACAAGTCCCCTTAATCTTCTGTTACCTGCACTACAGAGAGCATAAGGCTTGTAGTCTTACCCAGAACGGAGACCTGGAGAGAGGCTGCTGACACTCTCTTGGGCCAGATAAGCAACCCAAACCCAGCTGACTTACTGTTGGGACTGCAAGATTTCTCTATTTGTGTTTTCCCTGGTCTAATAGGCAGACTAAGAAGCCCAGTGAATTAACATTTTCAAAGATGCCAAGTTCCTCTCATGAAAGCCACAGCTATAAACATGGTGCACCACTGGGCTCCTGCACCGTGACATGGTACAACACCACTTCCCATAATAAGCTTAAATCAACACGGCTATGGTACTGTTCAAATCACCAAAATGATGTGTCATTCAGATAATATTTCAAAATAAAAATGGAACCTCGTCAACTTGAGAGAACTTGCATTTATTTTATTTTACGATGGCAAGGATCAAAGAGCCTGATGCTAGCTGGGTCGGTGTGCTGGGCCTTTCCTGACTTCTGACAGTGACTCAGCCCATTTTATGATCAAGTTCAAGCTAAGTAAATGATGAATCAATGCCCGCAAAGCAAGAAACCATGCCAGTTTCCCACTAAAAATCGCAAAGTGTGATAAACCTATTTCCGTTAAGAAAACTGCTGGAGTTTGTACTGGGGGGTTTCCCAGTCAAACAGAGGCAAAGATCTATAAACCCAAAGCGGAAGGTAAGCACATTTCCTCTGAGGGCTTTCAGGCTGGACATTAACGCAAACACAGTGAATAATTCCAGGCTGTTTCATGTCATCCTCCTCACTGAAGCTGATCAAAAGAGATAACCTACCTCACACTAGCAGCCCCAGCTGGGCTGGCACGGGTGGGCACACATCCTGCAGGAAGGGCCCACAGAGAGGTGAAGCCACAAGAGTAGAAGTGTCTGCTTCAGCCATCATCCATAGAAAGTACCATTTCCTGCCCCTTCCTCTCCACGTTCCCTTCATGGTTATTCACCTTACCAACCTCCCTGATCATCTAACAACTTCCTCTGGCTTCCAAACTTGACTCTCTCAACCATGCCAAGTGCCAACACGAATCCCTGCTTCATGCTATCTATCATATCAAGTGCTTTGCCTGTTTTAAAAACAAACAAGCAAAAAACCCCTCTGTCGTCGAGCTGATTGCAACTCATAGCAACACTATAGGACAGAGTTGAACTGCCCTTGGAAAACTGACAGTTTTCCAAGGCTGTCATCTTTATAGAAGCAGACTGCCACATTTTCCTTTTGTGGAGCAGCAGCTAGGTTTGAACCACTAACTTTTCAGTTTGCTGCCAAGCACTGCTTAATCACTCTGCCAGAAGGGGTCCTTTACTTGATTTAGTTCATTTAAAAAACCAGTTGCTGCTGAGTCAACTATAATGCATGGTGACCCCATGTGTGGAGGCAGAGTAAAACTGTGCTCTGTGGGGTTTTTGGTGGTTGAGTTTTTGGAAGTAGACTACCAGGACCTCCTTCCATGGTTGGTTGTCCTTCTTACCTCTAGTTCTTGCTTCCTGCTTCAGGTATGAAAACCATCTTGATGCTAGAGTTCTTTCTCTATAATGTGAATCTGATTGTGCCCCATTCTTAGGGGCAAAATCTTCAGCATAAAATAACAATTCCACATAAGCCCATTCACTACTATCTGACATTATCAGCCATGGAAACCCTGGGTGTTACCATCCTAAGTCACTCAGACCTTCCTCAGTGTGTGTCCTCACCACTCCCTGCCTCAACCCCACATCTTATGCATGTTCTCTTGCTGCCTGGGATGCTAGACCCCATTTATCAATCTGGAAAAGGCTTAGTCCTCCTTCCATACTGTCTTTCTTTCCCTGTCTCCTCCAGACAGAGTTGGGGACATCTTCTTTGGGGTTCCTTTAGCATCTGTTCTTGCACTGATTTCAGCAGCATTTCTAAACCTGGTTCACATGCCTGCCATCACCACTAGGTCCTGTAAGTCCAGGACCATGTTTGAAGAATCTTTGTGTCTCCAGAACTGAGCACCAAACCAAACCAAACTTACTGCCATCAAGTCAACTCTGACTCATAGTGATTCCCATTGGGTTTTCAAGGCCATAAATCTTTATGGAAGTAGATTTCCCCATCTTCCTACCATGGAACGGTTGGTGGGTTGGAACCACCAACCTTCTGGTTAGCAGTCAAATGCCTTAGGCACTGCACCACCAGAGTTCCTTAGAACCCAGCACAGTGTCTGGTATATAGCAGGCATTCAACAGATGCTTATTAAATAAATGTATATATTAATAAATAGTAGGCATCTTGGTTGGCTGCTGCTAAGTCAGCCTTGACTAATGGTGACCCAGGTACAATAGGATTGGACTGTTGTGATCCATAGGGTTTTTGCTAGTTGATTTTCAGAAGTAGATTGCCAGGCCTTTCTTCCATAGTAACTTTGTTGTTAGGTGCTGTTAAGTCAATTGCAACTCATAGCAACCCCACGTAACAGAGCAAAACTGCCCCATAGGGTTTTCTTGGCTACAGTCTTTATGCGAGCAGACTGCCAGTCCTTCCTCCTATAGAGTTGCTGGGTAGGTTTGAACTGCCAACCTTTCATTTAGCAGTCAAGCACTTAATCGCTGCATCACCAGGGCTCTTTACAGTAGGCATAAACATGTTTAAAATAGGTAGTTTCTCAGACTTAGAAACACATATTAGAAAACGCATAGAGCAGCCAACAATGATAAAAGCATGGTCTGCCAGTGAAAGCCAGGATTCAAAGCCTCTATTCCTGCTGCCCATTCAGCCCATTACTTTGCCCATCAAATGCCTATTACTCCAGAAACGCTCAGGGGTCCCCAAAAGAACTTTGTTCCCTGTGGGCATCTGGGAGTAGCCTGAAGGTGGGCCAACTCAAACCAGATGACAAGTGGAGATGAGGTGCCAAGAAGTGTGGGCACGTTGTCCAGCCAGTGAGGGTCAAGTGGTACAGAAAGAGGGCCTGAGGGTCATGTTTCCCTCCACAGTCATCTGTACCAATGCAGTCATATGCTGGGCAAGCAAAGTTCACTGGTACCTACTCAAAAAAAGGGCAGGACACAGATACAAGAGACTCAGCCTTGTGTTTTGGTTTGTGGTCCATCAAAACACACTCAAGAGGGACTAGGGGACAGAGGTAAGGACAAGAAAGGCCTCTGGAGCCAAGGAGAAGTCAGAAATAAAAACATGAAGATTATAGACTTTCCCCTAGAAACTCTGTATGAGGGTGATAGCAACATGGAAAATTCAGTAAGCAGGCCCTTTCTTCTGGGCCATACAAAATCCCATGCTCCCAAACTGACACTACTAGCCTAGGTGATGGAATGCCACCTTATACATGGAAAGCACTCCACCTTCACATCCATGGCTTCAAACTGAGTTCCCAAAGTGGTGCTGCACACAGGTGGGAAACACAGAGAAATTCAGATGCGTTTTGCCAGCATCAGATAGTTCAGTCAGCTATTGCTAGTATCTTCTTGTTTTTTCTCCCACGGAAAAATAAACCAGATAATGAGCTACTTGCTCCACGGGCTTTGTGTATGTACTTTTAAAATGTCACCTTTGGGTAAAACTCAACCCACTATCGGATTATTAATAAAATTCAGCAACTGTCAGATCACTTCTCCGTGCAGGGAGGCTTGGCGGCAATACCTATTAGGAGAGAGAGACAGATGGCCTTACCTCTCAGCTCCCGCGTCCACAGCTGCGAGTGGAGGTAACTGGGAGGGGTGGTGATGGGGGCTCCCCTGTACATTATGTCCCGGAGAAGGGTGACTGACAGCGTGTGGGGGTGGCCCAGCCCCGGCAGCTGTTCCACTTCGGCTCGAGTGATTGCTGGAGAAAAGGGGAGCTGAAATTGAGAGAAAACAAGCATCAGATGACACCTCAAACGGAGCCGCATTTTTTAGTACCAATTGCCGACAGCAGACATATTTTAGAGGCTAGTTTGTTTGTCTCTTGGTGGTTTCAGGGAAACCCTTCTCCCCTTTTTGGATACAGACAGCTTTTGTTTTCCTGGAGGGTCAGGTTCCTGGGCTCTCAGGCCTTGACTGCTGCCTCAGGGACACATGCTTAGCTCACTAAGAGCTGATAGTCTCACTCAGAAGCACTGCCTCGGCCTGCCAACCCTCTGTCTTCACGGTGTATAATTAGTCAATCTTGTAATGTTTGTATCTGCACGAAGGTCCATGTATTAGCAATCTCAGTCACAGGGAACGAGAGTCAGGTACCAGAATATTCCATCAGCTGACTAGGAAGGGCACACCACCTGCCCTCTTACTCTTCTCACTGCCCCACTGAGCCACAGTGGGTCAGCGGGGGTCTCCCCTAGTCACTGGTGAGTCTGTAGCATGAGTAAAGCTTCCCTGACCTTAACATGGATGTGATATCCTTCACAATTTTCACATATGTATCTAGCCGACCTTCTTCAATTGTGTCATGAAAGAGCACAGTCTATCAAAACTGAGTCCTCTCATCTCAGTCAATTATAAACAACAATATCATTCATAAAGTATATGTTTACATCCTCATTTGGTGAATAGTGTCTGGGATCTTAAAAGCTTGTGAGCAGTCAGGTTTCTACTCACGTGGAGCAAAAGAGAAAGAAGGAAACCAAAGACTCAGAGAAGAATCTAGTCAACGAGACAGTAGACTACATGAACCATGGCCTCATCTACCCTAAGATCAGAAGAACTAGATGGTGCCTGGCTACCACTACTGACCATTCAGGGACATAATAAATGGAGTCTGATAGAATGGGAGAAAATATGGACTAGAACCTAAAATTTCTAAATAAGCATGTAAAAAACAAAACAAGGAAACAAAACCACACATAAAAAAACACTTACTGGACTGGTTGAGAGTGGAGGACTCCCTGAGACTATTGCCCAGTTATATATATTAAAAAAAAAAAAAAACACTGCCATCAAGTTGACCCAACACACAGTGACCCCCACTGGGTTTCCGAGGCAGTAAATCTTTACAAAAAGTAGATTGCCTAGTCTTGCTTCCACAGAGTGGCTGGTGGGTTTGAACTACCAGTCTTCTGGTTAGCAGTAACATGCCTTAGTCACTGTGCTACCAGAGCTCCTTAGTTATATAGTTATATATATTAGGTGCAGTCAAATCAGTTCCAACTCATAGTGACCCCATGTACAACAGAACCAAACACTGCCGGTCCTGTGCCATCCTCACAATTATTGCTATGTTTGAGCCTGTTGTAGCCACTGTGTCAGTCCATCTCATTGAGGGTCTTCCTATTTCTCACTGACCCTCTAGTTTCTCAAGAATGGTGGGCCTTCTCCAGTATCCCTGAGATACTCTTTAAACCTTGAAATGAAACTAGCCCCTGAGGTCACCGTTTAGCTAAATAACAGATTGGATCACAAAATAAAAAATAGCACCCATGAGTACTGAGCTCCTTTAAAAAATCATCTATATAAGAGCAAACAGTCAACACTTACTCTAAAGCAAAGTTGAGAATGTTAAGGGGACAGGGAAACTAGATTAATGGAAATGCAACAACCAGAATGGAAATAATGAGAATGTCCATGCATCGGGAAGAATGTAACCAGTGTCACCTTCCCCAAAAATACAATAAAATATTATTACAAAAAAAAAAAAAAGAGTCTTCTGCCAACATCATAAAATATGGTAAAGGCCTGAAACACAGCCTTGGCACTTTCCTCCACTATGGCTTCTTACAACACAGAATGAAGTATATAGCCTGGGTCACAGGGGCAGCCTAACCTTGGAGAACTATATTTGATCTCAGACTTAGATGTGTGCCCAGGAAGATGGGCTAATTGGTCTGATGTCACCAAGAAAACCTGGGCTTGTCACCTTCACAGTCTATCAGAGAGGCTCTGTCAGACTCCGGGACTCACTCAGTAGACATCTCATTACGCAGCAAGCAGACGGTATCATTATGCTGACTCCCTTTACCTCCTTCCCGGATGAAGCTATGCTGAGCTCTATGCTACCTTTTTTCTCTTCGAACTTACTCTACTGCTATCAAAGAATAAATGGATTAAGAAAAAAGAAATCAGGTTCAGGGCTAAGGAAGAGAAGCCATATTATCAAAAAGATTTGCAGGTTTAAAAGTTCAGGGAGGTATATTTTTAGACCAGTACCACTTTCTGCCCCCTCTCTAGGATAGAATTAAGATCCCAGATAAACCAGCCCCCAAAAGCTTAACCCGATGGAACAAGAGTTCAAGTACTTAAAGGGACATGTGAAGAGGCACAATTACCATGTTCCAGCTCAAAAAGCTACTGACAGGTGTGATCTATTATGAAGAGTTTATTCCTGGCAGATCAGCCTTCTGTCAGGTTAACTCTTGCCCTCAAAAGCCTACATTCTCCACAGCCCTCCATGTCCTGAAGAGGTCGTGGAGCTAGAAAAATGCTTACCAGCCCAAAAGGCACAGCCAAGCTTCTGTGGTGTGTGTCAGCTTCAATAAAACTTGCACGTTTGCAAACTCACTAGAGTTGCCTTATGAATCACTGCCCTCATTTGTGCTCAGCTAGCTTGGGGAACCACAATTCTGCTTGTATTCCAAATAATAATTTTACCCAGGGGAGAAGATTTGGATTGACTGTGGCAATAGTTTCAACACTGGTGTTTGTCAGCATGGAGCTCAACATTTTATACACTATTCGAAAAACGAATGGAATAATAAGAGGTCACAGAGACACTGTGAAAGCACAGCTAATTTTTTTTCCCCTGCCTTACTACAGAAACGTGAGCTCTTGTATTTATTGGTGTCAGAGTTGCTGAATGCACCCATCACTTATTCTCCCCTGGAGATATTTGTGTGTGTCTGTGTGTGTGTGTGTGTATGTGTGTATCACAGAAGCAGCACAAACCCTACTGTTTACAGCTCAGTGGGCAATAGGGAAATGTGGTGTACATACTCTATGCTCTATAACATGGTCCAACAGACAATGGAGTGCTTCAGAGAGGTCTACAAAAGGCCTACCATGTTCTCTTCAGACATTAGCTGCAATGAACTAGGCTGCAAAGTCTGGTGTCATTTGTAACCTGCCATCCACTAAAATATGCTGGGTTGAGGGCCTCTCTATCATTCCATTTAATAGCCTGGACCAACTGACCAATTGACCGACCATCTGACCATCCAACCATCCACCCACCCATCCATCCATCTACTCATGTCATTCATTCACTCACCCATCTACCCATCAATCTATCCATGTATCCATCCATATGTCTATCCATTCTTCCCATTTATCCACTCACCCACCTTTTCATCTATCTATCTACTCACCTATCCTATCCATCCATCCTCCAACTATTGCTTTTTCATATAATTTATTTTTGTTGTTGTTGTTGAGACTATACACAACAGAGTATACAGCCATTCAACAATTTCTACATGTATAATTTAGTGACATTGCTTACATTAGTCAAGTTGTGCGACTATTCTCATCCTCCTTTTCTGAATTACTCTTCCCTTATTAACATAAACTCACTTTCCCCATGTTTCCTGTCTAATTGTTCAAACTGCTGTTATCAATTTGATCCCATAGAGATAGATCTTTAAAGAGAATAATGCTCAGGACAGACATTTTTACTAGTTAAGCTAAACAATTGGTTGATCTTAGGAGCTCTGGTAGCATAGTGCCTAAGGCACTTGATTGCTAACCAGAAGGCCGGCGGTACAAACCCACCAGCCATTCCTCGGAAGGAAAGTTGGGCAATCTACATCGGTAGTGATACTGCCTCAGAAACCCAAGGAGGGGTCACTGTGAGTCGGGTCCAACTCAACGGCACATAACAACAGCAACAAAAGAAGACTTAAGGAGATAATTTTGGTTTAAGTTTTAAGGTTTAAAGATTGTTTCAGAGCAATAGTTTCAGGGGTTTATCCAGCCTCCACACAAAACAAAACAAAACGATTGGCACTGAGTCGATTCCAACTCATAGTGACCCTACAGGATAGAATAGAACTGCCCCATAGCATTCTCAAGACTGTAAACCTTAATGAGAACAGACTGCCTCATCTTTCTCCCACATGGCAGCTTGTGAGTTCAAACCATCAACCTTTTGTTTAGCAGACCAAATACCTTAACCTCTGTGGCACCAAAGCTCCTTCTAGCCTCCATGGTTCCAGAAAATGTGAATTCTCTGAGACTTTTAAGTTCTGTTCTGCATTTTCTCCCTTTTGATCAAGTTTGATAGAATTTTTGATCGAACTGTTCAGTAGTGGTAGCCAGGCACCACCCTGGTCTCATGGCAAAGGAGGCAGTTGTTCGTGGTGGGAATTAGCCATTCATTCCATTTCCCCCTCCTATTCTTTACTCTCCCCTTCTTTCTCTGCTGCTCTAAGTCGGTAAAGACCAATTGTTTTACCTCAGATGGCTACCTGCAAGCTTTTAAGCACTATGCTTAAAATGCACCCAGGCATAATGCAAGGAATGAAGAGACAGAACAGAAGCACTAAACAAGTTATTAGGTCAATTAAGTGGGATATCCCATGGAACCATGACCCAAACCCTTCAAACCAAGAAACCAAATCCCATGAGGTATTTAGTAGTACATAAGCAGCCTCAGCAGATACTCTTTGTGTGTGTGTTGTGTGTGTATTGACTACTAACCAGAAGGCTGGTGGTTCAAACCTAGCAGCCACTCCTCAGAAGGAAGGTTGTGCAATCTACTTCCGTAATGATACTGCCTTGGAAACCGAAGGAGGGGGTTGCTATGAGTTGGTACCAACTCGACGGCAGTGAGTTGTTTTTTTTTTTGTGTGTGTATGTGTGTGAATCATAACAAATTATGGATAATATTGTGAAGAATGGGAATGGGAATTCCTGAACTCTTAATTGTGCTTAT